TCCATGGTCATCGAGGCAAAGGCCATGACTAGGACACAATAAGCAGCACAGGTCCTGTTAATGCCACCGTAGCAATGGACAAGCACACGAATTGGCCTCTTCTTGCCTCCACGCTTCCGACCACCTCCCTGAAGCTTCATCGCCTCCAACAAAGCAAGAGCATTACCGAGCTCACCAGGGAATGTCTCATCGGCCACCTTCAAGGCACTCTGCCTTCCATCGGCACTCTGCCTTCCATCAGCGGCTCTTCCGAACAGGCTGCCCATGTCACTTCCCTTGCTGAAGCCCTTGTCATAGGAGCAGCCATAGCCAAATGAGCCCTTCGTCGATGCCTTCTGGCTTTGCATGTGATTGGAAACCTGACAGGGGCCGCTGTAGCCCTTGCTGATTGTCTTGCCCTTGCCCCTGCCGCCATTGGCCTTGCCCATCATTTTGCCCTTGATGGCACTCTGCCTTTGACTCTGGCTGAACTCCTCTTCTGAGCGCTGCCAGCACATCATAATCTTTCTGAAATCTGAAATGAGGCGGCGCCAAATGCTCTTGAACTCATGACTTCTTTGTTCAGCATCAAAGTCATTGGCATGTGTTTGATCCCAGCCACCATACCGAAGATGTGCAGTGCCAAACGGTCCACAATTCGCCAAATACTGATACCAGTCCCATGGCTCAAAATTCCGAGGTCTGTCATCTGCATTCATAGAGATGACAATGTCAGGCTTGACCCGGAGCTGGTCATATCGGATCGGGCAACCAATACTGCCAACAAACAGTTGCCACTGGGGATGGTCGTAAATCAAAACATCATCCATGGGCCACGTCTCGACATCATGCTGGCATGGCCGAGGTGGCGGGATCGACCCAGGCAGCACATCTGTCTGGCCGGTCCATGCTTTGTACAACTTCATATCCATATCTCCGAAATCTGAGATGGCCTCAACTGCCAATTTGATTCGTTGATCCAATTGTGCAGCCCTTTGGATCTTTCGGAGCCCGGTGGTATAGTCGGCAGCTGATCTGCCACAGTGTAAACAATTCCACCGAAGTTGTTGCACGGCTTCGTTCCAGTAATCACTGCCAAGGTCAATGTGATTGGCCTGATGATGGTCAGCAGCAGAACTCTGGCACTCTGCCTCGGAACTCCCTGAGCACCTTGAAACGGTCGTCGGCATCACTGCTTTCATCGAGCACACAATTGTCCAACGATTAAAACATTAACAGTGACTAATGCATCACTATACAGTACATTAACCAATGATATGTAACATTGTGTTACTACTGTTACATCAGTATGAATGAATCACTTGATTCCCTGGCCGGCAGATGTCGATCATGTATGGTGCAAGGCAACTCACTGACAGACTATGCAGGCAGGCAGGCAGCCAGCCAGCCTCGGAGACAGCAGGGTCCTGAGGACATCACTGCCACCCGGCACTGTGTAGTCAGCATGTCATGCTGGGTAACCTTTTTGAATCCAAGTTGCGCACACTACCGCTGAGGTCTCAAATCGGACAGTCTAGCTCTGCTGGCGAGATCGTCGAATTCAAAATCCTCTAAGCACACGCAAACCCGGCACTCTGCCTTCCCCAACATCCGTAATACGGTCTCGGAGGCTGTACAAACACGACAAATCATTGATTCAGTGACGACACAAATTCGTCTGACACATTGTAATGTAAAATTCCTGGCACTCTGCCTTGCCGCACAAATCTCGGAACGAGTACGCACAGGATCATGTCATTGATATGCCAGTCTACTTGCAAGACTTGCCCACGCTCTTCAGAATTCAGAAACATCCACAATGTCGAAAAGGACTCCTCTAGCAGCTCGTCGAAATAAATCACATAATCATCGTCGTCAAAACTGTCCGCGACCGAGCCCACAAACGAACCCCCAAACGCCGCAGTGCTTGCAAACTCGCCAACAGCCAATAAGTCCGAGACCGAGCCCAGAGACTCACTGTCACTCCACGACATCGACCACATCTGCCGGCTTGCACGGAGGCCTACTACGACTTAGACTAGAGACAGAGCAGGTCGTCGGGATCACTGCTTTCATCGAGCACACTTCAATTGTCCAAAGATTAAAACATTAACAGTGACTAATGCATCACTATACAGTACATTAATCAATGATATGTAACATTGTGTTACTACTGTTACATCAGTATGAATGAATCACTTGATTCCCTGGCCGGCAGACAGATGTCGATCATGTATGGTGCAAGGCAACTCACTGACAGACTATGCAGGCAGGCAGGCAGGCAGCCAGCCTCGGAGACAGCAGGGTCCTGAGGACATCACTGCCACCCGGCACTGTGTAGTCAGCATGTCATGCTGGGTAACCGTTTTGAATCCAAGTTGCGCACACTACCGCTGAGGTCTCAAATCGGACAGTCTAGCTCTGCTGGCGAGATCGTCGAATTCAAAATCCTCTAAACACACGCAAACCCGGCACTCTGCCTTCCCCAACATCCGTAATACGGTCTCGGAGGCTGTACAAACACGACAAATCATTGAAGCAGTAACGCCAGAAATTCGTCTGACACATTGTAATATAAAATTCCTGGCACTCTGCCTTGCCGAAAATCCCGCCGAAGTCTCGGAAAGAGTGTGAACATGATCTGCTCATTGACAGACCAGGCTACTTGCAAGACTTGCCCACGCTCTTGAGAATTCAGAAACATCCAGAATGTCGTAAAGCACTCCTCTAGCATCGTGTCGAACGGAATCACAGAATCATCGTCGTCAAAACTGTCCGCGACCGAGCCCGCAGTGCTTGCACCCTCATCGTCAACCAGAACCCAGTCCGAGCCCAGAGACTCACTGTCACTCCACGACGTCGACGACATCTGCCGGCTTGCAGGGGGGCCTACTACGACTTAGACTTGAGACAGAGCAGCTGTAACACGACTATAGTAGATTACGCAGGGCAACAGCGAGCACAACTGCTGCAGCGGCAAGTTGCGATACATGACACGCTCACTGACTATGCAAGGCAGCTTGTCCTCTGCGATGGCAGCATGTCCTCAGGATCCTCGTCATGAGCCTCGGTGCCAGGACTGTACCATAATAATGGAAGTAGCTGAAGCAAGCTGATGCTGAGATCCCAGCAGTTGGCATCCACTTCTCGATGGGCTGGAAGCCGATGAAGACCGATGGGAGAGAAGGAAATGGAAGAGAAGGCGTTCACTAGGCTTGGATTCAAACCGAACACTTAGACCTGGCCAACGGTGTGGGGAGCAACCCCGATGGGGCAGGGACTTAAGTAAGGCAACCTCGAGAGGCTCGACTGGCACTCTGCCTCTGTCGATCCAAGTCGCAAGGCTCCCTAACTAACGTGACAAGCATGGATGGCCTCCCCTCCTGGTTGGGAGAAAAATAAAAAAGCCACAACCACTGGACCACCCCACCCAGCACTTTAGCCCATGTGCCCGGGTGTCATATGCCACTGCCCTGGCACGTTGGCCCCAAGGCGGTCCAGGCACCATCGACAACACCTGACACCCGGCCAACGGTGTCCACGAACCGAGATGGGCAGTCGATCCGTGTGGGTAAGGTGGCACTCTGCCTCTGTCGCTCCAAGTCGCAAGGCTCACTAACGTGACAAGCATGGATGGCCTCCCCTTCAGGGCTGTAAGCAGATTGCGAACAACACCCACTGGACCACCCCACCCGGCACTTTAGCCCATGTGCCCGGGTGTCATATGCCACTGCCCTGGCACGTTGGCCCCAAGGCGGTCCAGGTACCATCGACTCAACACCTGACACCCGGCCAACGGTGCCCACGAACCGAGAAGGGCAGTCGATCCGCGTGGGTAAGGGCAAGATCTCAAGGCAAGTCAACATGTCACTACGGCCTCCCTTCTTTGTTCAATCACAACCCAAAACTATTTAAAAAGATTAAATATTAAAAATTATTAACTTCAACAACAAATAAACAACAATTTTGTAGACATACAGCAGCAGGAAACCAGGTAGAACAACAGGAAGCCAATTGACTCACTCAGAAACAAAATTCACAAACATGTATTTTTTTACACCAAAAATAAAATAAAAGAATTTTAACAACTGTAAAACACAAAAAAACCTATTTAACAAACTTTTAAATACAAAACAATACTTTTAAATACAAAAAAAAAACACTTTTAAACACAAATAAAGCCAACCACATACAAAAATGAGATTTTGGGTTCCTTTCATATAAGCCTTGTTGATCTAAACCCTGTGGTTCTGGTTCGGCGCAAAGGGTTAAGGATATTTAGTAGGGCTTTGATGTAGGTCAAAGGCTCTCAGGGCCGTACACTTAAAGGATCATGGGACTAAGCAAGGAGGGTTATACATCGGCACCCTCACCTACTAAGCCCCATGAACCTCCCAGTAGGGTTTTATGTTTCAGGGCTTACTACAGTTCTTTCTATGTTCAACCTCACTCAAGGTACCCATGACCGAGTCTTCAGGTAGGTGTGCCATATTCAAATTTCACGTATAGCTTCTCGGACAGATTTCGGAAATCAATTCTTGGGATGCCAGTCAGCAACTGAGGACTCCAAAAAAGTTGCCTTCGCGTAAGCTAGTAAGTAATGTTAATCAGTCGTCCTTGTATAGTTTTACGGTGCTACCCGACCCAAACGACAGAATTGCCTTGATTCATAAATGGAGCCCGACGATCAAGTAAGCAAAGCTCCTTTTGTCTGAACTCGTGGGTTTCTGGATACACCTACAAGGATCTCTTCCCGGTCCTGGACCCTAAACAGCAACCCCTCAAGGAACCGAAACTACGGTTGATGATATAAATCCTGCATTGCCCATGATAAGGAATATACCCCCAATTCCCATAGTCTAGGGTCATTACTTAAAGGATCATGGGACTTAGTAACTAAAGTGATAAGTAGGGTAACTACACTTATAACTACTTATAACCCCAATTAAGGTACTTATAACCTTACTTACTAAGTCCCATGATCCTCCAAGTAAGGTAATGCAGGATTTATTTCATCGCAGGCGCAGTCTTTGCCGACCCCTACGCCGACGAGGACGCTGCAGTCCCTGATGCGCGAGTTCGGTGATGAGCAGATCGACATTCTGAAGGCCCACTACCACTAGTACCACAACCACTGCTACCACTACTGCTACCTGCTACTACGTACTACTACTACTACTACTACTACTACTACTACTACTACTACTACTACTATCACTACTACTGCCGCTACGAAAAATCCTGCATCGATTTATCCACACAGGTCCTTCCCCCCGCAACCCCCGAATCTTAATATTGGGCCCAAAGGCACCGAAATGGCGACAGGCGCGAGTACTAAAAATCCTGCATGACCCGATGGTTTTTCCAACATTGAAATCGGGGCGAGGCCAGAAGGCGCCGAGGTCGTCGCTAACACTGGTGCTGGACAGGTCATGCAGGATTTTTACCATCCACCGTACTACTGCTACTACTACTACTACTACTACTACTACTACTACTACTACTACTACTACTGGATGTTGAGGGTTCCGGGCCTCTTGGCTCTTGGGGCTCAGCGCCAGGTGTTAGAGGTTTGGGGTTGGGGGCTTCCCTGAATTCAAAGGGGAAAAGGAGGGACCCTAAATGGGGACCGGTACCCTATAATGGACCATATGATGGGCATATAATAGCTAGGAGTCCTTATTAAGGGCCCTCCTTTGACCTTCCCTGAATCAGAGGGGTTCACAGAGGGTTTAGGGTTCAGGGTTGTCACAAGATTTCGAAGGCAATCTGTGGCTCTTTCTACGCTTTGCCCAGCTTGGTCAAAAAACGGGTAGGGTTTTGGGATTAGGAACCCATAAAGGAACCCTTCGAGGAACCCTTCAAGGTGCCCCTTCCCAGCCATTACCAGCATCGGCTCCTGGACTTTTTGCTGTCTCTTCCAGTACAGAAGCATGCTTGCCCGTCTTGTTCCTGAAGGTTTCTTATGATAACGATACTGTACTGTACCCCAAAGCCCTATTCCAATACTAAGGCCCTTGTATGACCCGAAAGGTCGACATCGAAGGTGGCGAGCATGCGCTTGTTGGCCAGGCCGGATCGCAAGGACGGCGAATCTTGGCTTTGGCGGTTCATTGTACGGTTTGGAGCTATAGGTTTAGGATTTAAGTACATGTTGACGATACGGTTTGGTCCGGGGGCTTAAGGTTTAGGCTTTATTTAGTAGAGGGTTCAAGGATACAACGTTTTGGGGGCTACCATCCTGAACCCTAAACTGTGGCCTTTCCTGACAAGCGGTGGTTCCTCATGGTCGACATTGATATTATATATATATATATATATATATATATGGATGTATGGATGTATAGATGTATATGGGGTGCTTTCTGTCTGAAAGCCCTATACAGCCTCTGAGTATTTGGTTTCTACATGCGAACTCGGTGAGGATTTGGATGTAATGCGTGTAAAGTTCCTTAGTAGCTGAGTGGATACACTTTACATTTTTTGGGATAATACTACCCACTATCAAACTGAAAGTGTAAACTTTTTGGGGGGCCTATGAACTCAGCAACTAAGGTTCTGAAAGGCCCTTAGCTGTCCGGCTGGGGGATGCCATGGGGCCCCAGAGCTTCGAAATCCTCAGCCCCAAACCCTAATGTAGGGGCCTTTTTACTTACCTATACTAGGGTTGCTTATTAGAAAGTTTTGTGGACAGGGCCCCAAAACCCCATTCGAAGTTTTGAGGCCCCTATGTTAGAGGCTTAGAGTTTGGATTCGAGCTTCACACTTCGGAAAGTGCGTCTTGGGGTCGTCGTAACTGCAAGCACGGCCTGTAGGCCCTGGAGAGCTCCCCTTGGCTCCAGTGGTAAACGTCCCAGAGTTGAAAAAAGTCTCCTGGGGACTCTCATAGCCCTGAATCAATGAAAAATCCTTAAGTCATATTAGGGATCCTACCATAATTCAAGGTATATTCCTTAATTAAGGGATATTGGAGTTTCCTGGGTTCTTGCTAAAAAGTCAGTAACTAAAACTTACCATAACACTTGTCTGCTTATAAACAATATGGTGTCCGTATTGTAGCAACTTAAATTAAAGGGAACTCCAGAAAGTTGGAATATGGATTCAGGGTAGGATACCCTATAATTTACCATAAAGGGCTTAGGAGAATCATATTCCAACTTTCTGGCTTTTACATCCTTGAACAATAACCCAGTCCCCTGCACGCAAGAGCCGCCGAGCAAAGAAATCCCGAGCCGCGAAGCCCAACACTCCGCGGTCCCTTTGTCAGTCTCTCTCACGCGCCGCTCGTGCTTTCAGAGTTGTGCGCGCAGGGCGTTGGGAGTACCCCTAGAGGAACCCCAAAACCCTAAAGCTTAAAGGAACCCCAAAACCCTAAAGCTTAAAGGAACCCCAAAACCCTAAAGCTTAAAGGAACCCCAAAAACCCGAAAGCTTAAAGGAACCCCAAAACCCTAAAGCTTAAAGGAATCCCAAACCCTAAAGCTTAAAGGAACCCCAAAAACCCGAAAGCTTAAAGGAACCCCAAAACCTTAAAGCTTAAAGGAATCCCAACCCCTAGGGTCGTTCAAAAGTTCCCCCTTTCTGGTGACTCGGAGCAGGCCTGGCCTCGCGTGGGGCAGCTCGTCATGGAGGCTGCTTCTTCAGTGAATCGCTCCCGAAAGCGGTTTAGGGTTTAGGGTGAAGAGTCAGCTGCTGATAGCAACAACAGTACAGGGAACTCCAGAAAGTTGGAATATGGATTAATGGTAGGATCCGCTTTAATTTACCTTAAAGGGGTTACGATAATGATATTTCAACTTTCTGGCTTCTACTGTATCGTTTGAAATTACTACAATCAATATTAATAATCATCGTAATAATAAGAACAATAGGAATTGCAACGCTAGCTCAAGGCGGAGATGAGGTGTTTTTGACAAAGTCTCAACCTTTCCATAAGGGCCTTAATAGTTACCTATACAAGTTTGGGCCCAAAAGACTCTTCTAACTACTAAGGCCTTTATGAAACGAAATAACCCCAAATCCTCCTCGTCCCACGAGCCGTTAACCTCCAAGCGTCCGAAGCCTTCGAAGCTACGGTTGCGGAACCAGGGTGTAGGGCCGTTTCGGGTTTAGGGGCTTCCTAGACCCGCAAGATTAGGTAAAATAATTGCCCAAAACCTATAAAAGGGCATTATTCTACATCTTCTGGGGGTCCACGTTATGCTAAAGATCATCTAAGTGCGCAGCAAGTTCCTCAAAGAGGTGCACCTGCAACCCCGCTTCACCTTCGACATTGGCGACCTACGGCGACTGGTGCATGCCGCTGAGGCCTGCAAGACCCCCCTCCTAACCTGATCCTAAACCCCTGATTAAGCCCTAAACTCCTAAACCCGAAACTTCCCTAAACCCCTAAATCCTAAACCCTAAGCCTTAAGCCCCTCCTCCACGTCCTTCAGCACCCTCAAGGAGCAGGCCGTGGCCTTGTGAAGCTCCCAATGCCCGGAGATGGCAGCTTCCATTAAGGGCTCCTTTACCTAGCTTTGGTTAGTAGGGAATGGAGGAATGGGGTACAATTATGACTCTATGACTACTACTACTACCATTCTTCCATTCCCTACTAACCAAAGGTAAGTTTAAGGGGAACGCAAGGCGTAGATGAATTCGTGGTTTCTGGGGGGGGGGTGTCCAGAGATCGGTAGGTAGAGATTATAGACCATCAGGCCCGAAGCTGTTCGAAACGACGTGAGCCTTGGGTCTAAGCTGTAGGGCTGAGGCGAAAAGCGTTGCGATTTCCGACTCGCCGGGCCTCTGGGGATGTTGGCTCAAGTGTTCGGATTCAAAAAACTCTTCTAACTGAATTTGCCTTCGTTCTTCGGGGATTTGTTTTGTGGGTGTGAAGCTGAGACTCTCGACGCGAATCCTGCAGTAGGGCTCTCTTTTCAAAGGCCGGGTTCTCATGAGCTCTTGAGGTGTGTGTCTGTTCTCGTTACAGTGTTACAGGGACTCTGTAGGTTGCCTCAGATAGCTAGGTGTGTAGAGTTTGGAATTCTGGACCGGCTGAATTAGAAGATTCCGAAGCCTGTCTCCTATTCCCTTAGTGCTTCAGTCCATTTTGTTGCTGAGTCGCACTTGGAGGTTCATGGGTAGTTATAAACGGGGTTATAAGTAAGGTAACTATAACTATAACTCATATTAGGGGGGCCCGTAACTCTACTTTTAACTACCCATGAACCTCCAAGAAGGCCCTAAACCCCATACTCTTATAGAATCCCTATAGATCTCTTTAAAGGGACCGAACCCTTAACTACCGGTGAACCTCCAAGTAGAGCCTGATATTGGAGGCTGCAGACCTGCGACTTTTCCACATCGACCGTCCCTGGAAGTACTGTGGTTGCCGCACGGCGAGCGGAGTGTGGTGACGGGTGCACTGTGGGGTTTAGTATGTTGGGACATCGTTTTTTCTAGGCCTTTCGTGGCTGCGTCTCAAGTTGTCCTCCTTGTGGTTGCTACCGGTCTGCAAAAATGAGTGTTGTATTCGTGTCGTTGTCCCTGTCACTGCTTCTCCTTAAAATGTTGCACTTCTCAGCCTTGGGTTCATGAGAAGCCAAAGTTCGCTTCAAAGCGCTGGCTTTCGTAGGAGCTTACGCAAAGCTGCACTTGTCTACGTTAGCCTCCAGATGGCCTGCTTTGTCCAGAGCCTACTCTCAGAACATACGGAGCACAGCTGGCTGCGTCCATTGGTCTTCGCAGCAGATGCTGTAGCTTAATTCCTTGACCCTGTAAAGTCCGCTGGGTACCTGCAAAGCCCTAAATCCAGACCCTGTGAGTACGCAGAGCTTGTTTGGTCTTCGTTCTCCCGCGGTGTTCTGAGGGTGAGAGCGTGAGTCAGTGTGTGGACTGCTTGTATGGTTGGGCCTTTGATTTTTGGATTTTTCAGCTGACCGATGTGATTTCTAAGGGTCACAGTTCTGGATCTCAGCCAACAGTGAACTAAGTCTCTTGCTTGCTGCTCTGCTTCATCCACCGGGACTATGGCGCCACATGGACATAGCTTGTGGTCGGAAAAAGCGACAGTGGTGAGGAGATTCTGAGCAGCGAAATTGTTCTTGATGTTAGCTGGTGTCCTCCCTGTCTCCGTGTTCAACCCCGCTTGCAAACTGTTTCGTCAGGCATTCGATTCAAGAGTCTCCGCAACTCTCAGACAGAGACAGCGAATAAGATTAAAGGACGTAATATGGGGGCCTAAGCCCTAAGTAATTACCAATACTACTTGGGGTGGCTCCGTAGAAAATCGCAAAAAAATGGGGTTCGAGCTCCTTGGAGCTCCGTCCCATAAAGCTACGGTTGATGATATAAACCCTGCATTACCTTAAGGTCCCTAAACTATGGGAATTATGGTATATTCCTTATTATGGGCAATGCAGGGTTTATATCACCAACCGTATAAATTTGTACTTTGTACTTTGAGACGCAGACAGTCGGTAACCATCTAAGCGTGACACTGCACATCATTCAGATGCGGCCGTCGAAACGGCACCCTATTGTAGGGCCGTGTTGACAAAAGAAAAGTCAAAGTAGAGAGAGTGGAGAGAGATAGAGAGAAGAAGGAGAAGAAAGAGAGACGACAGAAGACGACAACCAGAGAAGGAGAGAGCGAGAGAGAGAAAGAGAGAGAGAGAAGAGACGGAAAAGGGGGAGAGGAAAGGAAGAAAGGGAGGGGGAGCGAGAAGACAACGACCAGGACGACGGGGGGAGCGAGAGAAGAGGAGTGGAGTAAGTGTGACTTGGCGCGTGTTGTATAAGGCAATGCCGAGCGAACTCACCTCAAAATCGAAGCGGCCCGAAAACTGTACAACATGACCATACCCCGCTCAGCATATCGATCAGAATCGGAAAAGCAAACCTTGTAAGTAGCAGCGATCCTCATCCGAGAGTAGTGCCGCATCTTTTATGGTAAAAACCGCGATTGTGATCCTGGCGCCTTCCCATGGGCACGTTTCGTGCCACCTGTGTGGCGAAAAGCATATCCCGCTCATAGTAAGATTGAACATGTGGCCGATGCGATTGCCGTCACTGGAATATTGAATAGTACTCTCGACTGTCATCTTCCACCCATACACCACCACCATGAAAACTGGAACACGGAATAACTGTATTCAAGCTGGCAGCGCAGTTGCTGGTGTCACGATGAAGTGACATTGCCGCATTCCGTTGCAGCATAAAGCTCGTAAAAGGCATATCCATACAGCTTCTGATGTAACTGCAAATCGACAGACTAGTCCAAGGAAGCTGCGTTGTATGCCTTCGAAGTCCCCTTATGAGACCACCAACGGCTCCACGCGCATTGGCAACCAAATCGAGGATATCCTCATCACATGCCATGCACCTGAAAACTACGCTGCACGATAGAAACTACGCTGCACGGTAGAAGTGCAGACAACTGCATCGAGCCATGATATCAGTCCGCAGCTTCACTGGTCAACATAAACATATATGCTTGTGCGTGCAACCATCTGTGCGCTGACAAAGAGATGCGCTCTGCAGATTTGTTGTCGTCATAGAGAAGACACTGTTCGCAAGCCCCCTCACTCCCCAGCAATGGCACCGCCACGCGGTAGTGCCCTGAGCGCATGTGCAATCCCTCATGTAGAACAACAGACACGATGCGAAAAGTGCTCCACTCAATGTCGACTGCATGCTGATCCTTGAAACGCGGCATGGTAACTCGGCCTGCTCCCCATGGGATCTCTGCTGTATCCTTGGATGCCCCGCGACCTGTATCACGAAAGCGACCAAGCTGTAATACTACCTTGGTTGTTCCACTGCTCAGCGCCTGCAAGGCCTGCTGTCCTGTGTGCCATTCCCCCAGGCACTCCTGTAGGTCTGCACAATGACGAAGAGGATTGAGCTTGACGTTCAAAAGAATCACTTGATTGCCTGAGTCCCGAAACATCGCATCAGCTGACGTCCGCCACGCACTAAGTCCCTGGAGCGCGGATTCGTCACGTAGGATGTGTAATAGGAACTCCACTGCATCATGTTGGCGATTTGGTTGAGCCCAGCCTTGTGTTAGAGTCTTCCATTCCTTGAGACGTCGAAGATCCAACAGTGTATCACCTCGTCGGTTGCGAATTTTACTCAACATACACTGCAAAGGTGAGCTGAAACCCTCCCAGTCAGCCATGAGATGCACCAGCGCGATGAATGTTGAGTTGGCATAGCAGAACTGGCCTGTGTTCCTGAGTGCCCCACTTAGAGTTCCTTCAGCGCCTTGTAGAGTTTGTCCATCTGCGGGGTTGCTTTGGACCTTTGCGTTCGAAGACGTGCCGCGATCAGCATCATGGCCCCTAGATCTACCAGTCGTAGCATTTGTTTGTGGAAGGCGTCGTCCCTCAGCCCCACGTCTAGCATGAAGGGTACTGCTTCGTTCTCCATGGTCTCCGTGAGCTGTTTTGTCGCCTGAAAGTTGGTCACGCCCTGGCCCTTGCTCACCTCCTCCTGTATGTTTTCTAGGGTTTGAACGAGCAAAGCATGCGGCAATGGTTCCTTGGTGGTATCCTCCACGAGCGTCTCTGTCTTGGGGTCCCACTTGCGATACTTCCACTCGTTCTCCTGAGTCAGCAATTTCAGTGATACTGCTTGCGTCTTTGCCTCCTCTTTGTGAAGAATCAGCTCGCTTCTGGATCGCAGTTCCTGAAGAATGCAAAGAAACATCGTTGTGCTCAAGGAGGCTGTCAGCTTGTCCGGAGCGTTCTGCTTGCATTTCCTCCACTCCGATGCTACCTGGAACATCACCGGTGTGATGGAGCCTTTCGTCGGCGGTGTTTCCAGTACCATGAAGAAGCCTGTTTCGGTGCTGATGCGATTCAGCTGTTCTGACTGTCTCAGAACGAGGTGTCCCATCAGTTTGACCAGCTGAGTGAGCTGTGTCGTCTCCTTGTCTGAACCATTGGCTGATGGTGGCCGGCTTCGTTTTTCTCGGCGCCTCGTTGCTTCCGCCTTGTGACGCTTGTTCGCGCCCTTGTCCTTGTCCTGACTTGTGGCCGCGTCCATGTGCTGGTCCTCTTTGTTCTCCTGTATTGCTTGTAGCGCCTGTGTCGCCGGGAGGATCTGGCCGAAGAGTGCATTGATCTCCTGGTGACAGGTTCTTCAAGTGACTCACGAAATAAGCCTGAAGGGCAACAGTGCATTGTCCTGCATGTTGTCGGGCGTCGGCCACACGAGTGCCGCAGATATGACTGGGTGAGACGGCTGACTTGACCCAGAGCTTTATTTCTTTCCTCCATAAGGGTTCCAACCTTTTCCACTGCTCAGTGTGTGTGTCCTGCCAATGTTTGCGCACCCCGATTTTACCTGATATCCACTGACCGCACAGAGCACAATTTTGTGACAGTTGTTTTGCCACTCCCTCAAGCTTCGCAATGCCTCGCCAGGAGCCTGTGTAGGCCTGGACACATGACCACTCGAGCACTGATTCTGTGGTTCTGTCTTTCGCAACATCTCGCCAAACTTGGTCTGCAGCCGAGGTTGTGGCCGTTGCGTCCATAATGTCCTGTGCATTGTTCCGAAGTCCTGGGCAACTCTGACGTTCAATGTGCCTCCGGAGGGTCGCCCATCGAGCAAAACGGGTATCGCACAGGCTGCATTGAGGTAGTCCCTGACGAGCATGTTTGGCCCTGTCAAACACAATGTTACAAGGCGCAACGATCCGATGAGCTCGGCCTTCATGTGATTTCAGCTGATGGAAGTCGTCGAAGGTTTGTCCACAGACCTGACAGTTGTATGTAATGCACGGTGCTGGGAATGTCACGCTCGATTCCGGTGTTGATGCGTACCTTTTGCTGTTGTGATCCGGAATGTTCTGCAAGTCGTGGAGACATGCCTGCACCCGCTCGAGGATACGATCCGTCAGAAAACATGTTGGCCGATGCTGGGCTTCATGCCTTGCAATCATGGTGCGCATGCGCTTTGTCAGGACCTCCGAGGGTGATGCCATCTTCAGTCTCAGAAGGAGCGCTTCATCGGATTCTTTAGTGATGTGTCTGGGTGATTTGGCGATTGCGCGTAGATGCTTCAGCGTCTGGATCTTGAGTAGCCGGAGTGTGGCCTCCGTGACACCAATGGCTTCCAATCCATAAAGTTGGGACGTTTGGACGCACACCTGCCACAATCTAAGCCTCTGCTTGAGCGTCAAGCCACCTCGACCTTGGAGAACTTTTTGCAGTCGTTGTTTATGCTGTTGTGCTTTTGCCAGTCTAAGTTCCATCGTTTGTGCTTCGAAATTGTCGTAAGACAGGCAGACTCCTAGGTAAGTGAACTTGTTCTTGAGCTCCAGGCTGGCCTTGGTGTAGAGGTTGTATCTGATGTGATGGATGCCGTCCTTGTCTGTGTACCTGCGCCGACGTAACCATCGTTCTGCTTCATTCCCTCTCACGCGAACCAGCAGGTGTGATTTACTGGGGTTCACGTGCACCTTGAGGTTCCGGAGAAGCTGCAGGATCCTGTCAATGTCTGTGCACATTTGCTCGCATTCCGCATAAGAATGAAGGAGCCACCTGAGGTGAACGTCGTCGGCAAAGCCAACGAAGTGTTCATGGTACCATTGGTCTCCCATTTCCTGGTTGATGAGATGACACATGTAGCATGTGTAGATGGTCCAAAGAGATGGTGCGATTAGGCATCCTTGTTTGACGCCTTGGGAAACTCTGATCTCGCGAACATCCTTGGTGCCTGGCGTTCCAAAATGATACATGGTCTGCTCATGCCATGCAAGCAGAGCTGTGATCAGATCCGTGGGTACTGATGCCCATTTCAGCATATCCTTCATTACGGCTCTGGGAAGGGAATCAAAAGCGCGAGAAAAGTCAAGTGCTAACTGGCCCCCCCCTGCGCATGGTTGCCTGGTTACTCCAGCTCGTCGTTCATGTAGTCCCAGTTTTTGATCCTGGACTGCTTGTCTTACTTGCTGACAATGACCCGCTGCAATTGCTATTGCCTCCAGTGTGGATCGATGCTTGGTGTAGGCATATTGAGGTACCTGCTCCACGCATACATCGACGTAGGGTTGTAAGCGCGATCTCAAGAGAGCTGTGATCACTTTGGAGGGCACCGGCTGTAGTCCAATAGGACGAAGATCTTCCGCTTTGCGATTCGTTCTGTTGGGTTTCGGTAAAAAGCAAAGCCAAGCTGTGGTCAACTGCACATCAATGGAAATAGGCCCTGCCTTGAACATCTCATGAAGAAGGTCCAGCATAGGTGGAGCGAGCTGTTCTGCACCGACCTGCCATCCAATTGCTGGGGCACACCCTGGAGATGCTGCTTTGTGAACAGGTAGCTTTCGCAGGATGTGCAGCACTTCATTCAGCTCGAAACGCATAGACGACTGAAGCACCCACTGCTGTGTTGGTAAAGATGGCACATCAAAGATCTGAGTCCAGTATTTGTGAATGGCGTCAAGTTCTGCTTTAGGCCCGAGCAATTGGTCTCGATCATCACGTAGTTGGACCTTGCCGGGGCGTGGTCGCGGAGCCAAACGCTTCACTGTCTGATAGAACTCTCTAATGTTGCCTCGGGCGTGAGCCTGCTCCGCCTCCTGCAGCTGTGTTTCCCACAAGTCTCGTCTCCTCTGCAGAGTATCTTTACGTAGTTCCCGTCGTTGCTGCTTGAAATTTTCAAGGGCATTCTCATAGGCCTTCCCCTCGGTGGATTGAAGGGCTTGCTGTTGTAGTGCCCGTCGTGCCTTCCACATGTCCGCGAGCCCCCGTGCCGTGCTTGGGTGTTGCCAAGGTTTGCGTTCATCTCGGGGAATTGCCACTGTATTACTGAGGAGAGCCCGCCTCACCGTCTGGTCGATCTGCATCAGGGACGTCGGTTGCTGCATAGCCACCTGCAGGTCATCGCGAATGCGCTGACGGATAACTGGGTCCTTGCATTGCATCACTATTTGATCCCGCGTGGGTTTCATCGCCTGCTGAGTAACAGGCCACCGCGTATCGGAGTGTGTGTCCTGCAGATGACATGCAATCATGATGTGCCGTCCTCCCTGCCTCCATGGAAACATCTGAACATTTGGCCAGGGACGTGCCTGTCTAGCTAAAGCGCTTGCCTCTGCTCTTCTTGTGACCAGGAAGTCTATATGTGTTTGAGCCTCCTCTGACCTGAATGTAGCAGCCGAAGTCGCAGTTTGCCAGGAGTTCAAAATCACAAGCTCGTGATGCTGTAGGATCTGAACTAGTTGAGGGCAGTCCTTCGGGATGTTCTTCGAGTGGGGGGTGCCTGGCCCCGTGATGCCTTTGATACGAGGAAGTGCACAATTGAAGTCTCCCCCCAGCAGCAGGACGTGTCGCTTGGGTACTCCACTTAGGGCTCGATCCAGTTTGCTCCAGATTTTGTCGCGCTTGGCGTAGGCTTCGGGCGATTCCGACGATTTCGCCTGTTGATACAAGCATAGGATGGACAGCGGTCTGCGACGAAGGGGGTGTCCAGCTGATTCCGGCAGTATCACTTTAAGCAGACGGCCTGAAGCTAGCTCATCATAGCGGCAGTCTTTCAGAGAGCCAAGCGACTTGTTGATCAATACTGCAACCCCCTGGCCCTTGACGGGTTTGGAGCCCGATTGTAGCCAGACCCACCCCTGAACCTCATAGAAGAAGGATGTTCTCCATGTTTCCTGTAACAGGACCACATGCACCGACTGCTGCACCGACTGTGAATGTAACCAAAGCTGGACCTCGTCGTAAGCTTCCTGATTCAAGCCCCCTACATTTAGCGAGACTATGTTCAAGCCTTTCCTGGGCTGTGCAGTAACGCTGCGCTGAGCCACTGCTGGCCAATCCTGCAGACTCAACGAGACGACCTTGCGGGGCCTCAGGCTTGACAAAGCGAGATGCTGCGGCTGATATACCTCACCTGGCACACCGAGTTGCTTGAGCGTTAAGTGCTTTCCACGATACCAAGTCACACCGTGTAGCTGGGCCCGACGTCGAGCCCGCTGCAAACTTCTCTTTTGTACTGCATGGTGTCCACCGCAATGCTTCGACACATCATGTTCGCGTCGACTGGAGTCTGTATCATGTGCTCCAGAGAGTCCAGCGGTAAGACTCTCAACCCTCGCTTCCACCTCTCCCTCAAGTTGTCCGAAAAAACGCTGATACTGTAGTTCTACTGCCACGGAAGGTAAGGTTTCCTGAAATGCTTGCATGATCTGCTCTGTGGACCACGCCGTCCACTCAGTCTGGAAAACTCGGTCGCTTGCAAAGCCATCAGAGAAACACTGACTGTGTACAGGGAGCTGTGGTTCAAGTCCTGGCGGTCCAGGGAGAAGAAAGGTCCCTGCATCAAACATCTGCGCATACATTGCTGCATGATTGTCAGGGCTTCCTGGTTGACAGTCTACAGCACTATCCTGTAGGGGAGAGGCCCCGGGACTTGGGACCCGGGAGGGCTCGCTCATCGTGAAAATGGCGGGAAGGCCCACCGCACTCTGCTTCCAACTGTACTCGTAGTGAAAGAAAATCGCATGTAAAAACCAAATGCGCGAATGCAAAATAATGGCAAGCACACACAACCTGTTTGTCATGCGGCGTCAGATGGATTGTACTGTTGACAGTAGGAATGCCAGATTTGCGATGTCGCGCTGTCCAATGCTGCAGCTGCTGTCCGTCCTCGACGGCAAGTACCTCGCACGCCTGGTGCAGCACAGTCTCTGCTGGTAGATCCAGCCACAATCTCTCAGCTAGCTCAATCGTCGTCTGGAAAATCAAGGAGCGGTGATCCCGAAAAGCCTCAGTGAGTATGTCTAATGCACAGGCTCTAACGTGAAGAGCCGGTGTCAATGGACAGTATGCAGAGGTTGTCGTATCTGCCGGCAGCAGCTGAAAGAGAGAGCTGACGCCAACAGCGGCGCGTCAGACTCTCTATGGCAAGGAAAACTACAGAACGTCGAAGAAGGAGCCTGGTTAGGAACCTCTTGGAGCCCAGGCCCAGGTTCAACAGCTACAGCTCACAAGGACAACCGACAGCGGATGCCCTCTAAGCCCCGCCACTCGTACAACAACGAGTTTGAGCCCCAGAAGCTTAACCGTATAAATTCAGCAACACCGAACCACACAGACTCTCCGAGGTGGACGGAACTTAGGCCTCAGTGCCGTATTCACATCTGTTCACGCTTTTTGTTCAGCGTGTAGGTGCAAAGATCTAGTTTTCAAGGTCCGGGGGTTACGGGCCAAAACCCCGCACCGGACCCTTATCCTTTGACTCCTTACCTTGAGAACCCTAACCTGCGGACACTTTAACAAGACACGGTCCTTGATAACAGGCGGTTGCCGTCACTTACACTCCAAGCTGCAGGCCCTCAAATGCCAGAACCCCGAGTCCATAAGGAATGTACTTTAAAATATAGTAGAACCCCTTCTATGATCTAAGGTATAGTCCCTTATTAAGGCATGTTGGAGTCTCTCAGGAGGTCGAACGCACGCGAAGATTCAAGGGAGATCGTAGGGCGTGAAGATGAGGTTGACAGGCAGGAAAATCCTCTTTGGAGAGGTAGGGATGCTTGGTACTTCTAACCTACTAAAACACACCTTACAAATCCGAAGACTCCACAAATTCCTTCTGAAACCCTTTCAGATTCGAAGCAGCCAACTTCCAAGTGGAATTTTCGAGCGCCCAGGATCAGAAAGGTTGCCATCCGATCATTTCCACTCTCCCTCTCCCTCTCTCTCTCTCTCTCTCTCTCTCTCTCTCTTTCTCTTTCTCTCTCTCTCTCTCTCTCTCTCTCTCTCTCTCTCTCTCTCTCTCTCTCTCTTACTACGAGTTTCGTGTTTCATTAGTTACTTGGAACGGCTGTTCTGACCGTCTTCGCTGCTCGCAAGGGCCGAATCCTTGAAGTACGTGTCCGGGGGTTTAGGGTGTATATGCTAGAGTCAGGCTTATGGTATAAGTACAAAATCATACACGTTGTAATGAACGTAGTACAAGCATAGTATAGTATAGTATATTAGTGTTCATGCGTAGGAATCTTCGCCGGCGAGATTCCAAGCATCAACTGAAGCCAAGACAGTCACTGATGCCACACCTGGCACGGCTCCTTTATACGTATATATATATATATATGTACATATATGCTCACCACCCCCCCATTGACAGACCGCGGGTCTAAAACACACCGTGCGCGACGATATTCTATGAAGCAAAACCTTTACATGAGGTACATAGTATGTTTACTTGTAACATGCCATGTACTCAGGACACATGCAGAATGGGTGACGCATGCACCAGACGTGCGGCACATGAGTTACGTAATAGCTTTGTGGTCGTACCGGTATTAGGGTGAGTATTATTGTTAAGATTAGTACTATTGTTAGCTGTAAGTATACATATCTATCAATATTGCCAACTACACATTAGTGTTAGTGCTCATGTTCGTGTTAGAGTTAGCACTAGTGCCAGTGTTAATGTCAGTAATACAGCACCACTGCTACGAGTAGTATCAGTATCAGTCTTAATGCTGGGTTTAATAGCAGCTTATATTCGCAGAAGTGCTAGTATTAGTATCAATATTAGAACTACTTAGTTTTGGTATGTTAGTATATTGATAGTCTCGTATATTAGCAGATTAGTATATCAATACATCAATGTATTCGAACAGTAAACTATTTGCATTCTTGTACACTAGTATAGTTGACATGTTACTACATCTGGTGTATGAATACACTAGTATATTGGTGTATTAGTTTACCAGTATATTAGCAGACCAGTATATTCGTACGTTAGCATATTAGTATACTAGTATGTGTACTATATTCATGTATTGTCTAATCATTTATAAGTATATAAGTAAGTTGGCATATTAGTATACGAACTTGTCATGTCGGTATTCTTGCATATTGCAGTAGTCGTATATTAGTATAGTCACATATTAGTATAGTATATTCATACAATAACGAGAAGTATATTGTTACATTGGTATATGGGTATAAGCCTGTGCCAAAGCATTAATACGTGAATGCACTAATGTATATACCTGTATCTTAAGATAGTGGTATGTATTTTATGTACATTCGTATATGCAGGTGTCTATTAGTAATGATATTAGTTTTCATATCAATATGAATATACTATTGGTATTCGTAGGAGCATAAATGTCAATATTGTTAGAATTAGGACTATTTATACTCGTATAAGCCATAATATGAGTGTTCATGCTGGTAATACTAGTGACATTCTTGACTATTCAGCAGATTATCAAAGTCCGTATTAGTGTTGGTGATAGCACTACTGTAAACGCACAAGAGTTTACGTATTCGTATTCGTAGGAGTATCAATAGTTATGTAAATATTGATGTTACTATAAATATTGTGTTAAGTATTAGCAGTAGTGTTAGCGTTAGTACTACAATATTATTGATGATCTACATTCGCAAGAATGTCTGTATTAGTATTACTCTTGATCACGTGGAAATACTAACAGTTGAATACATGAGTGAGTTAAAGGATTTGTATTTTAATATAATGGTACGCATATTTATGTACATTAGTACATACAGCTGTGTGTTAGTATTGGTATTAATATACACAATTATCAGTATGAATATGAATATTGATATGCGTAAGAGTACTAATGGCAATACTAATCAATATTAGTATTTGTGTTAAGCATATTCGTACTAGGCTTGATAGAAGTGCAGTATTAGTAGTAAAGCTGGTATTAGCTTGAGCATTCAACAAATGATCAATGTTAGTATTAGCAATGGCAATTACTATATGTAGGAGTATCAATACATATATGTATATATAGATATATAGATAGATAGAGAGATATTCGTCTAAATATGGGCATGAGTATTGACAGCCCTTGCCTTTGCAAGTGAGTCGTAGCGCATGGTCTGTCATCGGATGGGTCACAATCAGCCCTCCTGAGAATCAATTCCAAGAGGTCCAGAAATTCAAAAATCCAACATTTCCAAAACTTCCAAAATTTCCAAAATTTCAACAAATTCCTAAATTTCCAAAATTTCCAAAGTTTCCGAAATTTCCAAAATTTCCAAAACGGCCCGACCTAGTGGACAGAATTTTTCCAAAACATAAGGGCGGACTTTTTGAAAATTTCGGAAATTTTGGAAATTTTGCAATTTTGGAAATCCGGAAAGTTAGGGGAGAGAATTTTGGAAATTTTGGAATTGAGTTTTTGAAAGCTGCGTGCCCTCTCCCCCCGATCACAGACCATGCACTTCGACTGAGTCGAAAGGGCATGGTCTGTCAACGGGGGGGGGTGACCATATATATATATATATATATATATATGTATGTATACACATGCGTACATATATATATATATATACAGTGTTAAAGTTAGACCCAAACACCTGATTCTTCTATGCATGAAGTCCCCTGTAACATCGGCTCGCAGCGGAACTCCACCTTGCATTGTTTCTGACTTATGGAAGACTTTGGGCCGAGAAGAGGGATCAAGCGCTTATCCTCCGTATCTGAATGTAATAACAACAATCATGGCAACAATACAAAACTAGCATTACTACTGCGAGGAAGAATAATAAGAATAGTAGTAGCAAGGATAATGGTTTTTGTTAATTGAAGCACCTAAACCTAAGAGCGGCCGCCGGGAGATGCGTTTGCGCCAGCATGCTGCGCATCACTCAGCTTTCGGGGGAAGAGCTGGCAACCATTCCGCTTGCGGAGGTGGACAATGTCAGATCCTTGAAGCTGCGAAGCCTGGTAGCAAGACTAATATGGGAGTTTCCGAAAATTCGGGGTACCTTATTTTGGGGTCCTTATATTAGGGTCCCCTATTTTCGAAAACCCCCCATATCTTGTCCCAAAAGAGAGTGCCTCTGCAGTCGTCCAGCTATTGCTCCCGGTGGCATAAACGGCAACTTAGGATTGCACCAGCAGCATGGCTTGCCAACACGCTTTAGGCAAAAGCTGGTGCACGAGGGGAGAACTCTGGACGATGACGAGAAGCTGGACACCGCGATGGATCTGACGGTTCCGAACGTTAAGCCCCATACCTCTAAACCGACAGCTTAAAGCAGAAAACATGTCAAGCCACAGGTAAGCCCCATCACCATCGACCGGGTTCGTGTTAAGGAATTTAGTTTAAGTTGCCAAAATAGAGACCTTAATATTTACTTTAGATCCCTATTATGGCTCAGTGGATCTTCCCTGGAGGTTCTTGTGCTTGCCTTCATCGAAGCTCCAGTCCGTCCACCGCGAATAGGTCTCAACGGCGATCCGATTGTAAACATGTATCCGCCGCTGGGTCCTTTAACAGTCGCTTACATAGAAAAGCCGTGTTCACAGGGTTGCATGAAGCTTCCATGCAGAACTGGTGCCAGTAAGACGGCTTCAGCAGGGAAGGAGGTGTCAGCTTGCTCTTCGACAGGGTGTGGAAGGGAGAAATTTGGGCTAGGAGTGTGTTTTCAAAGCTTCCATCTGAAACTGAGTCCTTCAACAGAGTTTTTTGGAACCGGTGGCAGAATTTTTTGTAAGACTTCCCTCCGGAAGGGTTCAACTCTAGGCTTCGGATATGTTCCCATGCAGCTTCTATCCGAAACGCTATGTCCTTAAAAGGGGAAAGGATTTGAGCTTTAGGACTCTAGGGTTTAGGGTTTAGGGTTTAGGGTTTAGGGTTTAGGGTTTAGGGTTTAGGACTTTAGGGTTGTGGATTCTTTGGCAGTGATGGGGTCGTGTTGTAGAGGCTGCCAACATGATGTTTGCACGGGGTGTCCAGTAGTTTGAAGGGGTTTTACAGGCGGAGCTGACCAGAAGGTTTTTTTTCATGGTTCCGGCAGGGTGCTAAACCCCTAAGTACGTAGGACCTTCAGGGTCTAGTTGGTGTAGGGCCCAGTAACCAGCCCTGGGCCTGGCCGTCGTGAGCGTTGCTGCAATTTTAAGTCTAAGCCCAAAAGGATTGCCAAATAGACACTGAAGGTCCATGCCACAAACCCCTAAACCTCTAAACTCTAAACCCGAAACCCCTAAACCTCGAATTCCTTAAACCTCTCAATCGTAAACCCCTAAACCCTTACTTTATGTGGGGGCTTGAAAAATCCAGGAAAGAGATCCTCACCGACGCCTCTGTCAACGGCGATGTGGAGGAGGTTCGGGGAGGGGTGTTACGTTACATTACATCGCATTTTCTTGCATAATATTATACAGCAGATTATATCACATTCTGTTACATTACAGTGCATCATCTCGTAGTAGATACTATGATTTATGATGTTATATTACAGCCCATGGCATGATTTGGGATAGGAATTCAGGTCTGAGGATTTGAGGACGTTGAAAGCAATATCATTCTCCAAACTCTCTCTCTCTCTCTCTCTCTCTCTCTCTCTCTCTCTCTCTTACTTGTTGCCATTATCATTGTTACGATCCTTGTGACCTGTACTTTCGTTATGATTCCCGTTGCCTTTCCTCTTATTGTTAGTACTACTATCCTGATGGTTCTTCTTCTTGTTATTTCTCTTCTTATTATTATTCATTCTTATTCCTCGTATTATTCTTCGTCTTCTTCTTCTTCTTCTGCTCTCTCTCTCTCTCTCTCCGAGAGAAGCCTCCCGAAGCTTCGGAAGTTGTCAGGCGGGTGCTTGTCAATATTAGGGTCCCCTTTTTGGGTCCCTATAAGAGTACGGCACCCAATATTTAGGGTACCCAAAAAGGGACCCTGGTATAGTACCCTAAATAGTAGGATCCTTATTATCATGATATTATGAGGTCCACCAGAATAAGGTACCCCTATTTTGAGGGTTCCCAGAAAGGGACTAGGACCTAGAGTAGGCCCTTTTTTTCCCTTTTTAAGGGTTCAGGTTCCCTTATAACCCCCTTTAAGCCAAAAAGGGCACCCTTTTAATTCCCAGGTTACTGTTAGGTCTAGGGGACCATACTTTTGACAACCACGCAGGTGGAGGAGCTCCTCGCGCTCCCCTTGGATCCGGATGCTGGGCTCTTGCAGGGGGAACCCCATTTGGGAGTTTCCGAAAAGTAGGGGGTACCTTACTTTAGGGCCCGTATAGTAAGGATCCTACTATTTATGGTACTGTATTAGGGTCCCCTATTGTCGGAAACCCCTGTTTGTTGGTGCTAGAAGATCCTATGATGGTAGCTTGATTTGGCATAATAAGGGTTTTCGGGTTTAGGGTTTATAGGGCAGCTTAATTTAGCATGATAAGGGTTCTTAGCAAGAAAGTGCGAAAGAAACCCTAGTATAGAAGATCCTATGAAGATAAGAGCTAAGGAAACCTTATATTTTGGTTGTACATCCTATTCCGGTAGCTTAGATTCAGGACTTTAATCTAAGCATAGTAAGGATCGATAGTAAGAAATCAGAAGGGGACGCCGTGGACGCTTGTTTCTTCCTTGTCGGTTGTGTTCCCAGCCGGTGCCCTGACTTAATGACTTAATTTTTTTAAGTCATTAAGTCAGGGAACCGGCTGGATCCAAGATCCAAGATTGCAGGAAAAAGTTTCTTGGATCCATCTTGGATCCAGCCGGGGCCCTGACTTAATGACTTAAGTTTTTTAAGTCATTAAGTCGGGCCCCGCCCGGATCCAAGATGGATCCAAGAAACTTTTGTCTGCAATCTTGGATCTTGGATCCAGCCGGGGCCCTGACTTAATGACTTAATTTTTTTAAGTCATTAAGTCGGGGCCCTCCCGGATCCAAGATCCAAGATTGCAGGAAAAAGTTTCTTGGATCCATCTTGGATCCAGCCAGGACCCTGACTTAATGACTTAAATTTTGAACTCATTAAGTCGGGGCCCTCCCAGATCCAAGATGGATCCAAGAAACTTTTGTCTGCAATCTTGGATCTTGGATCCAGCCGGGGCCCTGACTTAATGACTTATTTTTTTTAAGTCATTAAGTCGGGGCCCTCCCGGATCCAAGAACCAAGATTGCAGGAACAAGTTTCTTGGATCCATCTTGGATCCAGCCAGGACCCTGACTTAATGACTTAATTTTTTTAAGTCATTAAGTCGGGGCCCTCCCAGATCCAAGATGGATCCAAGAAACTTCTTTCTGCAATTTTGGATCTTGGATCCAGCCGGGGCCCCGACTTAACGACTTAAGTTTTTTAAGTGTTTAAGTCGGGGCCCCGGCTGGATCCAAGATCCAAGATTGCAGAAAGATGTTTTTTGGATCCATCTTGGAGCCGGGGCCCCGATTTAAACACTTAAGTTTTGCCAAATCTTTAAATCGGGGCGCGTGGCTCTCGGAGCGGGTCCAAGAATTTTTGTTTCTGCAAATGTTGGGTCTCGGACCCAGGGGGCCCAGCATTGCGTCTGTCTGCCACATAACGGAAACCTCAATGGAATTCCACCTTTCCACATGTGCTGCGTCCAAAGCCACAGAGCTTTGCACATGTGGAGATGTGGAATTCCATTGGGCTTTCCATATTTCCAAACCTGTTGACCTTAATTCTGCAGAGCTCAGGATCATAGGGCTCCCAATAATTATGTACTATAGTCTATTCCACCAAACCAGACTACAGGTGTGCCGCTGATATACTATAGTTGCCATTTGTTTTTACACCATTGCGACTATGCAGCACTGTAACGTCCAAGGTTATCCTATATTGCGTTGGTGCTAGACTAGGCTATGTTTGAATGTAGTAAGTTGCACTACCATATACCAAGCCCCTTTGTGCTATGCTGGATTGCACGATACCGCATTGCATTGCATAGCAGTCGACACAGTACCACTCAATATTTGATAGTTAATCGTCATCTATGCTGGAGTTTACTGTACTGGGTTTGCCCGTATTGAAAGGTACTACATTGCACTTTGCTATACTAGACTGCATTACACCATACTAGATTTTGGCGTCAATGCTTATCTTTAATACATTGTACTATGCTACGTTCTAATAACCTAAATTGAAACATTGTATATCATATCATATGCATAGCCGATACAAGCAATTGAAGGCCCTTCGATTAGTCCAGTGAAAGAAGATTAGCCTAATGGGAAGTCGAACTCGTGATTTTATTCAGTTTACTCATCGTATACGTTGACATAACACATTCACTACCAAAGAAAGCACAGCCTCAGTTCGTACTTGCGATATACCCCGCCATTTTGGCACCGAGAGTACTGAGCGCAGATACCCTGTGGTGTCGACCCCGAGCCTTGTAAGTGGATATGTGGTGTGCATGGTACCACATTCTTCGGTTCATGCACGCAAATCGCTCTTTCTATGACCTATGCTCGTGCTTTATTTAGTGAACTAGAACGGACGGCAGAATAGTACACTAGGCTCCTGACTATAATTCGCTATACTATGCTAGCGCACTATACCTTGCTATATCATGCTATGCTCTACTATACCCTCCTAAAATAGTAAACATAGTAAACAGGGCCATGCAACAGTGTATTTTCCTACACCATTCTGCGGTAGTGCTATACTAGACTATCGTATCCCATATAGTGTATGCTATACCACACTGCAATATAGCGTCAACACTACAATATGCTATCGTGCACTTTACTGCCAATGTCATATCACAACATATTGTAATACACTAGACTAGAACATAAGGCTGATCTCTGTCTTATACCTTCGACCTACAGTATTCATATTCAACAGGTTCGTATGATATCAGACTACCATAATCTGTATCTATAGCACAGTATACAGCTGTTCTGTATCATGCTATACTACACATACATGATGAACTAGACTGTATGTCGCAATACTGCACTACCATATTACGGGGCACCATGCCATATTATATCTTACGCTCCAGTATACGGGCACCATGCCATACTATATCTTACGCTCTACTATACTATACCCTACTTTTGTACGCACATGCGAAAAATACCACAATGCCACGCCTGGTGCCTCATAAGTTATATTAAAGCCCGGCCGGATCCTGGTCAGAGGTTTTTGGGTAAGCTTAGCTTAACATTGGTTCATGAGAAGCTTCATGAGGAGCAAGCAGGCCATAAGATAGAATCTACCGGGAAGACATCGTAATTCGCGCTGTTTCATATGGCGTCTATCTATAAAGAGCCTTGGACCAAGGTAATATACGGATAGGAAACTACATGAAGGTGGGTCTTCGAAGGGGTGACCATGGCTGCTTCTGGATGGGTGTTGCTCATTTTATGTTTTCGACTGCTTGATTTTGTGATCCGGTTTTTCACAAACAAGCGTCCACAGCGTCCTCCTCCCTAAGAAATACTAGAGCCCCCCCTTGTTATGATAACTGAAGTTAAGTTCCCTAAGGGCTCCTTTTGGGGATCCTTAAGCTAAGGGTTCCTTTTAAGGGTTGGAAAAGAGAGCGAGCCCAGGATGTTGTCGGCGTCATCGGCCCGGCCTTGATGCGGGCATCGGAGTACGGCCGGATTCAGACCGTGGAGAAGCTTTTGGAGGCGGATCCTCAGGCGGGGGTTCCTGTAAAAAAGGATCTGATTAAGGGGATACTATGAGATCTTATGTTACTAAAAGGATCTTATGAAGGGGATACTAGAAGATCTTATGTTACTAAAAACCTTATGAAGGGAATACTATAAGATCTTATGTTACTAACAGATCTGATGAAGGGGATACTGTAAGGGAGCTAAACTATAGGAGGGCATAAACGTGGAAGGAAACCCTGAAGTCGCCAGGAAAGTTGACAGCTCCTCTTTTTAAGGGCTTTAAAGGGCCTTGGGGGCTTTAGGGGGTTTTATTTTTAAGGGTTTTAAAAAGGGTTCTTAAAGGCTCCTTGGTCTTCTCGATTTTCTAGGACCCAGAGTAGGCCCTTATCCCCTTTTTTAGGGTTCCGGTTCCCTTATAAGCCCCCTTTAAGCCAAAAAGGGCACCCTTTTTATTCCTAGGCTACTCTTAGGTCCAGTTTTATTGTAGATAGTATCAAAGAAGTTTCTTGGAAAAGAAATACTAAACATATTGGGTGAAAAAATATTTTTTCCCCAATATGTCAAGTTTCTTGGAAAAGAAATACCTAAGGGAAAAGATGCGAAACTCCAGCCAAGCCTTCTCAAACCCCTATAGTTGGACCTTCGTGGCGGAAGAGACGGTTGGACAGCCCTCACGCATGCGGCTCACCGCGAACGTGTGGAGATTTGCAGGTTATTGCTGCAGGCTCGGGCTCAGGTGCGGGGGGCAGAAACTACTTGAAGGGTTGTGCGACTTTGTAAGTTTGTAGGTAGTATAGTAAGCACCTTTTCTACCTATTTACTGAATTCCGTGATCCTTTGAGTAGTGATCTCCTAAGTACAACCTGCTAAGGATAGTACCTCACCTCTGCACAAGCATCGGTTTAAAAGATGTTACCAGTTTCAAACCGTTGTGTCTGTTCACGGGGGATTGATACCGCTGATGGACAAAATCCTGCATGACCCTAAGGACTCTAAACTATGGGAATGATGGTATCTTCCTCATAGTGGGTAATGCAGGAATTTGTCCATCAACAGTATGGGCTATACAGCGTGATAAGCGCCTTTTCAGGATCTGTGGAATCAAGGCAGTTCGGCGTCTTATATGCAGTGCCCGGGAAGGTTTCTGCCCGAGCTCTGTACAAGAGCCTACCGACAGAGCAACGCAAACAGAATTTACGATGCAGATACAGAAGGCTCTCCTATTATAGACTGTTATACTGGAACAAGAACAGCCCAGGTAGACTCTGTAATATCAATATACAAAGAAGGCCCTCCTATTCTAGACTGTTATTGTATGAAAGTAAGTAGACTTATAAGTACCCTAAAAGGGACCCTAATTGTTGGGGTTATGGTACTTACAGGTCCCTAAAATGACCAGTTACTAAGATCCTGTACAGGTCGACTTTCCCCGCGCCGACGGCTCCACAGCCCTGATGCTGGCAGCTCAGCGGGGGTATCTCGAGGTCGCCAAGGTTTTACTCGAGCATAGTGCCTAGGTGGCACTTCGCTGGGCTCTTCTTGAGTAATATAGGGGCTTAAAAAAGTACCTATACTATGTTGGGGGTTCCGTGGTATATTTATAGCCTAATGGCTGGGCTCTTCTCAATGAGCTGTTTGAGTTTACCATAATTAGGGATCTGATGTAAAGACATGGGTTTAATATTATGGTAAGTTGAGTTAAGTTCCTTGGCAAGATCCCAGTTTGTGCAACTGTATAGTTTCCCTTCTGGTCCTGCAGAGGCACCCCTTCATAAATATTTTTGGGGGTCCCCAAAACGCACAACCCAGATGCTCAAACGGAGCTGCGCGACAGCAAGGGACGCACGGCCTTGGAGATAGCCAATGAGCCTTGGTTCTGGAGAGCCGGGCTTCGCTTGATTTTGGGTTATAGTGAACCACAAAAAGTTGGAACGTAGATTGGGGAAGATTACTTGTACTTGTATCTGCAGGGTATGTGGATAATGATGCTCCAACTTTCTGGCTTCTACTTTACTCCAGGGCCCAAAGACTTAAAACTGCCCGAAACCCGACATTGATACACCCCCATTCAGGAACATCGCTACGTAGACATGGAGAAGTTGCTTCTGGAGGCAGTGAAGCGCGAAGAAGCGGCTGCAGTTGCAAAGCGCTCTGTGTGAGAGGCAATGTTAGAGTATACCGCCCAGTATGCGGCAGGAGAGGTGTACTGCAGTATATCACAGTTTTTTTGGGGCTTCAGTCCGTGAGTGTATGCTGCGCATCAGCCAGAGTCGGACTTGCGAAGACTTCATGAGTTGGGGCAGAGCCGATGCATACAAGCAGGCTTAATGTCCTACCCCGAGTATATGTGTACAAAAAAAATATGCATATGGACACCTGTGTTGTTGACTTGGGGCAGCTGGTGCGATTGCAAAGGTTGTTGATCAGGGCTTCACGAATTTCCTGCCAGGGTGTCTGAAGGATCTGGGGGTTGGTGTTCTTTCGGCTGGGGCTTATAATTTCGGACTTTGGTTCTGACCACAAGGTTCGCGAAAGCTCTTACAGCTTGTACCTTCTGCAGCATTGGTGGTCTCCAGAACATGCTACTTAATGCCAGTGAGCATGACATTAAGCCCGATGAAGAGTGAGATGATGATGGCAGTGATGATGATGACGATGGCGGCAAGTAGTTACCTACCACGTCTATTCCCAGCATCGTCCTGACAGCAGCAGTGAGTGTGCTGCTGGCAGCGGTCATGGCAGAGCAACAGCAAAACCAACAGCAATAGTAGAAGTGGCAAAAACACGTCACCAGGGACCAATATACTCGAGAGCAGTTTTCAGGGAAGGAGATTTGTTGTCAGAATGTGCCAGCAGAGGTGTTGAAAAGCCCAAGATCCGAACAGAACTTGGCAAAAGACGGCTTCATCCTGTGTGGAAACTGCCAGCTGTTTTGTTGGAGTAATGGGAATAGTGGTGCGCACATAGGCATGGATCGCGGCTTGCTCGGAATATCGCTGCCACGATACCGGGCCATCGGCTTCCTTTCATTGAGCGACATGCATGGGTTTGTGAAATCTTCAGGCCTGTCTTGTCCATTCTTGGATCGAGATCATGCCGACGGGACCGCTGTCCACGTTAGCCCATTTGCCCTCGGCACAACCCACACTTCCCAAGGGGATCTTAGAGCCTCGGCTGAAAACAGATTCACCAGCTTAGGAAAAGCAGGCGAGCCTTCGAATTCTGAAACCTTGACGCTTGTTGCTTTCAGCGCGGCATGCTGCGCATCGCGCTGCTCTCGGGCGAAGACCTGGCGAGCATTCCTGTTGCAGAACTGAGTGATGTAAGGGCCTTGAAGCAGCGATTGCATCAGGAGCATGGCCTTCCACCACGCTTTAGGCAACGGCTGCTTCATGAAGGCATGAATTTGGGTGACGCCTTCCAGCTGGACTTGCCCATGGATCTAGAGATTGTGATCCCGGGCTTTGAAGTAGCATACTTCAATGCTTTTTCTGGACCTGTTACATAAAGGGAACCATTATGAAACTTAAATAGTAGGATCCTTAGTACAAGGGCCCCCAAATTCAGGAACCCCTATAGATACCTTTACAAAACCCCTTAAAGGAACCCTTATAGATCTCTTTGAATGGGTGGTTGTCAAAATTATGGTCCCTTTTTGGGGTACCCTAAATACCAGGTGCCGTATTCTACTAGGGACTTAAACAGGGACCATAATTTTGACAACCACCCTTAAATCATTATGAAATACTTCAAAGATCCAAAAAGTCTATCCCTGAATGGGAGTTCCTATAAAGTACCCTTAGTAGTATAGGGCCCCAAAAGTAGGGATCTCCTTCATTATGAAATATAGGGGTTTCCGAAAATGGGGGACCCAAATATAGTACCCTAAATAGTAGGATCCTAGGACCCCAAAATAAGGTACCCCCCTAATTTTCGGAAACTCCCCATATTTCACAAAGCCCAGGATTTTGGCCTTCTCCGAGGTCTCCTTCAGCCAGCGAAAAGAGCTGGGGGATGCCGCGAGAGAAGGCGTCGGGACCGAGGCCACGTCCAATTCGGTTTAGGGTTTAGGGCTTTTTTTTGGCGCGTAGGGTGGTCGGATCCCAGCGTTTCGGGGTCCTAGAAAAGGGGCGTAGTGGCTTACGACTTTATGCTGAAGCTTCACGATGGTTTTGGTATGTTCTGATGTTTGGACAACGTTCCCACAATCCTCTTGCCAAAATCCAGCTCTGCCCTCTGTCTGCATGCATAGCCACCTGTACATAGTAGGTTTTCAGGCTGGCATGGTCTCCAAATTTACCATTCCCTTGCTGTTGGACCTACATTGCCTGTAGCCTTCAGCCCTCAGGTTGAAGCATTGCTGCAGCTGCCTTTGGATCCAAACGAGGACACCAGCTACACCTTCAAGCCACTGCAGTTAGCAGCTATGCGAGGCCATGTTGAGGTGGCGAGACTTCTACTGGAGGCCGGCGCTGACAAGGACTTCACGGACAGGATGGGTTTCACGGCTTTGATGAGAGCAGCAAGCGCAGGTCGCACTGAAGTCTTGCGATTCCTTCTGGAGGCAGGTGCTCAGACAGACTTGCGCAACGACGATGGCTTCACCGCACTGATGCTGGCATGTCAACATGGGCACTGCCACACTGCTCGAGTGTTGCTGGCGGCCGGTGCTGAACATACTTTGACAAACACTTTCGGCCGCACAGCGCTCATGCTGGCAAGCGAGTCGGGCAATGCGGAAGTTGTACGAGTGCTCTTAGAAGAAGGCACCGACAAGGATTTCTCCTCACAGAACGGTTCGACGGCCTTGATGTGGGCAGCAAAAGCAGGTCATGCTGAAGTGGTGGAGCTGCTGCTGTCGGCCGATGCTCAGAAGCCTTGTCGTAGTTGGGTAATGTTTCTACATATTTGTTGGTACTCAAACCCAATAAGGAATACAGATTTAAATGTTTAATCCTATCCCAACCATGAACTAGGAAAGACTTGAAAAACAAGATGGGCTTCTCTGCAGTCGATTTGGCGGCCGACCACGGCCACTTCGAGATCCTCCAGTTGCTGCTGGACGCTGGCGCTCAAAACACTTTGCTGGAAGACTCTTCGGCTCAATCTGCGGAAGGATCCCCGCCGGCCGTGGCATAGCAGCAACTTCGCGAAAAGAAGGGGGAACCTGTGTTTTTTTCGAGCGGTCTTCTAGAATTCAGAGTTTGTGGGTAATTTTAGGGCCTTTAGGGTCTGCGGGCGCTGGTGCGCCTGAACAGGGTTTAGCAGACCCTGACGGCCCCCTGAGCCTGCTGAAAAAAGGGATCTTAAGCCCAACAGAATCGAAAATTCTACAGAGAAGTAAGATTATAAGTACCTTAATTGGGGTTATAAGTAGTTATAAGTATAGTTACCCTAATTATAACCCCTGTCGGTATATCAAAGTCTGCCTAGCTTTCTAGCTTCAAGTCCATCCCTGTATGATCCCAGATGCAACTTGATACTGATACCCACTTTCCTTCTTTTGTGCTTAGGGAGGTTGTTTCCTTGTTGAACGGTGTCTGGAGTCTGTGGGACTGGTCCACATGATATTCTTTTCCACCTCCTGTCAAGCGAGCAAGGTTGCACAAACTGGGTTTACTAGGATGCCCAGTGCTTCCCTTTTTGTAGTCCTAGGTTCCTTATAAAAGTTACCCAATACCAACAAGGGAGACCTTTTTATTCCTAGGTTACTGGGCATCCCAGATTATCAAGCTCTTACCAGGGCTTAGGGTTGGTCTAGGATGCCCAGTAGTACCCTTATTCCCTTTTTGTAGTCCTAGGTTCCTTATAAAAGTTACCCAATACCAAAAAGAGAGCCCCTTTTTATTCTTAGGTTACTGGGTATCCTAGAGGGTCTATAAGGGTACTATAAGGGATCGATAAGGGCCTTACAAGAAGGGTACTATAATATGGGAGATGAATCTCTTTCAAGCTGTGGTTCGGGCAGTGAGGGCTTGTGGGTTAAAGGGTACTGCTGGGCAGGGGGGTGCAAGTGCCTCCCTCGCGCCTCTTCTCCCGACACCCTCGTACGTCCTTTGGAGGAAATCCGAACCATCCCCTATCAACCCCAAACCCAAACCTAGTAGCTCAGTGGATACACTATACACTTTTTGGGATAATCTTACCCGTACCCACTATAACACTGAAAGTGCACACTTTTTGGGGCCTATGAACTCAGCAACAGGCAAAACTCCGGTTTTGGGGGTTTCAGGCCGGTTTGGGGGAGGGGTTGACTTCTCACAGGACTTCGATGCCTTGGGGGTGTAGATCTTGAAACCTGCAGATGTTGGAGCTGAAAATGGGGGACCCCAATATAGTACCCCTAAATCGTCGGGGTTGTCCTTGGGGAACTGTTTCAATTTCCCCTACTATTTTGTAGAGAACCATAATACTGTAGTAAGTAATTTTCAAAGGGCTTAAAGGACAACTCAGTAGTAGGGTCCTTATTCTAAGGACCCCATATCAAGGTACCCTTAATTCTCGGAAACTCCCAGCTGAACCCTAAGTTTCTGAAGTTTGGACACTTCTCACTGGACCGAGGATGGCCTGCCACTCTACTTGGAAGGGCAGGGGACTTAGTAAGTAGGTTATAAGTAGAGTTGTAAGTACCCTAAATGGAGTTACCCCCAATTATAGCCCTACTTATAACCTACTTACTAAGTCCCCTGCCCTTCCAAGTATCTCATCTTCTTGGTCGCCTTGCGCAAGGCTTGCCGGGCTTAGCGGTTTGGCATGGGTTTACCATAGAAGTACTGCTGATGGACAAAATCCTGCATGACCTTCAGCCCTAAGCTATGGGAGTTATGGTGTATTCCTTATGGGTAATGCAGGATTTTGTCCATCAACCGTATCATAGAAGCTTAAACAAGATTGCCAATGCTATTCCTTAGGGCGCCTTATCCAAATCCAAATTCTTCCGATAACATACCCCAAAACCCTACTATCACAATTAAGTTCATTAGAAGGATTCTACAGAGGGTTCCAAAAGCGGAGTAAACTGTTCGTGCGGATTTGGATTCAGGACTTTGGGAGCTATTGGTTTCAAGCACAAAGGTCTCAGGTTTTCTGGCTGGCTTAGGGTTTACGGATTTAGACGCTTAGCGGCAACGGATTTCAGGGTTTTCGGAGTTACCGCAACCTTTCAAAAGAAACAAGGGCCGGAATCCTAAACCATGCACTTCAGACCGAAACGAGAGCCCAATGAAGTAGAACTCTGAAGCTTGATGGCTCCAAAGCGCCATCTCAACAACCAGATTGTTGGAAACGAAATGTATGAATATCACAGCACACCCCTACGACCCCAAGAAAACAGAATGTTTCGATTACAACCTACACGTACAGCCAAGGAGGCAAGGTGAACTCGTAATTCGAATAATGATCGCCGTGAGTTTTTTTCGGCTCGGTGTTGTCCCCTCGTCAGGCAGTGCTTCCTCAAAGACTCGTTTCGCCCATCACACTGCTACGAGTATCACAGGAGAGGATTAGGGCACAAGGGATTTCCCTCGGGAGACTCGAGCAATAAAACTCCGACGGAGCTCAGAACTTGATCAGAAACATCCTGTAGCGTGAAATGCACATTCTCTTGCACACGCTCCAAGATGGGACTCAATTAACTGGCATATATCCAAGTGCCCGCTTCACAATCTTCCGGCTTTCAGCCTCGCACATCATGTGCAAGCTACGCTTCATTTGCCGACGGATGGTGGCAGTGCCAGGAATGCCGCAACACTAACAAAGCACTCATACGGAGTGAATTAACTCGCCTAGTAAGCTCTTCCTGATCTTCTTCCAGGTCTCCAGAAGAAACGTGCGAAACTGGACCAACGAAACAACTGGCTGAACAACATGGGCGCAGTGACCAGGTACGCACCTTCACCCATCAAGAAAGCTGCCAAATCTGCAATCTTGGTGACATGTGCCATGGTCCACTCTCCTGTCAGCCGAGCTTTGGTAAATCGCTGCCCAAGTTTTTCCCACGTAGATCCCAGATCTGTGTGCTCTGCGCAAGGCAGGTCTGATTGCATCGCCAAACATGCAGCTACGAGGACACCTAGTGTCACACCCAATCCAAACACAGATGCCCAAGCCATCATGTGTCTAAGCAGTCTGAGAAATGACACCGCTGCGCTGCAGATCAACATCAAACCATATGACCCTTGCTCGCACGCAGCATCGTAAGCTTGCATCAGATGCTGCTCGCAAGGTGATCGCCTTCACATAGCAAAAGCGCTGACGACTGCCAATACCAGATCTTCCTTCTCTTGCGGGACATCGTCTAAAAGCTTACCGGCTAAGGCCTTCCACTTCGCAAGCTTGAAATCTGATCTCTCCAATACCTGCCGGGTCAGATTTGGGGCACTGTACAACCCCTTCGGATACGGAGCCTTCAAAGCGACTTCCTTGAAAGCATCTTCCAGGGACGACGCGTTGATAACGGGTCGACGCTTCACTGGGGGCATGTCTACAACATTCCAGTCTGGAAGTTCCTCCTCTGAAGGGCGTTTGTTACCCTTCTTGTTTGGCATCTGGAAGGGCAAGGAGAGAGAACCACGCTGCTTTTCAAACTCCTCCTGAGCAGCTGCGCGAGCTGCTTCTTTCATTGCTTCAAGCTTCTTGGCCTCGGCTCGCTCAGCAGAAAGTGCCTCGCGTTCCTGCGCAAGCTTCGCAATCTGTTCCTCTAGCTTCTCTGTGCGCATCCAGAGAGGAGGCCTTGCGTTGTTGGAGGGGCCTTTGGGTCGGGGCCATAACCAACCAAACATTGCGAATAGCACCGGGCAGGACCTACACACTACGGGCACCAGAAGCTACGCCTCGGCTTGTGACACGCGGAAGGCTACGCAACGAGGGAGAGCAAGAGAGACGAGGGCTTAACACTGTCTCAAAGCTTGGCGCACAAATGGAAACTGTCGGAAACCACTTAACAAACGGAGGAGTTTCTTAAGAGGGTAACCGAACAACTGCAACTCCCTCAACGACTGCAGGATGAAGTCGTGGCTTTGGTCAGTCTGTTTAACCCTGTGGACCCTTGAAGACAACCACCAACGAACACGCTGGGCCGCATAAGCATCCCATTGCACATATGCAGGCACACTGTGATGAACCACACCTGAGCACCCCTGAAGTGCTGCATGGTTCTTGGATTTACACGTGACTTGAATGTCACTGCCAACGGTCACTTCGAGATCCAACCAATGGTGGATAGAAGCGACGTGCACTCCTTGTGCGAAGATTTGCTCGATGGGAGGTTCTGCACCGACAGTGAGAGGCGGCTTGTATAACATGGCGCACATTTCACCAAGGCATTTCTGACAGAAGACCCCACTAGCAACCAAAACGTCATCAACATATCTACAACCCGTGGTGGACCTAGCAAACTCCTGTGGACTACCTCTAAACCCGGCGGCAACCCGGCGAGGCTCAGCCTGCATCCAATCAGACTCGCAGCCACCAAGCATCACCGACGCAGCAATCTTAGAAGCAGACCCGCCCATTGGGACTCCACGGACTTGGCGGATTAAGGCCGCACCCAACCGGAAGATGTTGCAACTTAAGTAGTACTCCATGAGGGGGCAAATCCTAGAGAAAGGGAAATACCAACCTCTAATGGTCCTAGGGGTACCACCCAAGAAAGCCTGGTGACGTTTGGATTTGAGGACAGTGACTCCGGCCACATGGCTTGAAAGCTCGCAGGCCTGAACAAACTCTTGAAGATGGGCCAAAACCTGGAGAGGCTCAACGTCCTTAAAGAGCTGGTTTACGTCGGCCTGAAATGTGGCAACAGGCGGCTTGCTGGCACCACACCGAGAACAACTGCAGACGCGAGGATGTATGGCGTCAAACCTTCTCTTCAACTCAACCGGAGCATCTTTCAGGGACCAAACTTCCCAAGTATGCAACCCGCAATGCTTGATAATGCACTGTATAGCTCTACTCAACTTTTGGAAAAACGACTTGAGTGGCGACGATGTGTTGGCGATGATCTCACGCACATGGGCATGAGCCTTGCTGCAAACGCACCCTTGTGTGTCAAAACACTTCCGCTTTATGTTGATGTATGCGTTGGGAAGGCTCTGAGCCGTCCAAGCGCTGTAACGCCTCCTAGCCCAAGCAGGACACGC